TTACTTTTAGCTCCTTNCACATCTAAACAATAAAATAAAGCTACCAGTATCTATGATATAACTCAGGTGACCGCTAAGGCCCTTGGGCCTCTTGTCTATAGACAGACATTACATTTAGCTCCTTTTCTATAGATAGACATTACTTTTAGCTCCTTTTCTATAGATAGACATTACATTTAGCTCCTTTTCTATAGCCAGACATTACTTTTAGCTCCTTTTCTATAGACAGACATTACTTTTAGCTCCGTCTCTATAGACAGACATTACTTTTAGCTCCTTCTCTATAGACAGACATTTCTTTTAGCTCCTTCTCTATAGACAGACATTACTTTTCGCTCCTTTTCTATAGACAGACATTACATTTAGCTCCTTTTCTATAGATAGACATTACTTTTAGCTCCTTTTCTATAGATAGACATTACTTTTAGCTCCTTTTCTATAGATAGACATTACATTTAGCTCCTTTTCTATAGACAGACATTACTTTTAGCTCCTTCTCTATAGACAGACATTACTTTTAGCTCCTTTTCTATAGATAGACATTACATTTAGCTCCTTTTCTATCGATAGACATTACTTTTAGCTCCTTTTCTATAGATAGACATTACTTTTACCTCCTTTTCTATAGATAGACATTACTTTTACCTCCTTTTCTATAGATAGACATTTCTTTTAGCTCCGTTTGTATCAAAGCAAGAGCTGCTTGGGCATATATGTGTGTATTACAAGCGTTTTCTAGTTATTGTTGACGTGTACAGTTTTAAATATACAACTTTGTAATACATTAGGACTGTGATGATATGGAACTCTTGTTTTGTGATCAATCATTAATAAGATGATAAATATTTAACTGTGTTGTTATTGCTTTGTTAAACGTCCAGTTCTGCTTCAGAAACAACAAGCGTGCCTTAAATCGGTATCTTCTTTGTAAAATAGTTTCTCCTTTGTTCAGTTTTTGGAGTAATTCTGGGTAATTGTTGACATATTTCACATTGAATGAATTCTATAGATATTGAGCTTAAGAAAAATGTATAGCTTTAGTAAATTTTAATATGTGATGGTGGATTGAGATGGGGTCAAAAGTCAGGGGGTGTTCCCGTCCCACTTCACTGGTTTGGCTTGTAAACTTCTGGTTGTCGAAAGAAGACGCCTGTAGCGCTCTTGTGTGCACTAAACTCGCCAAATAATGCCTTTTCGAGCCATGTCAGGTATGTGTCTCTGAATCTAGACTGTTGTCACTGGTGTTTAACTTTAAATATCAAAGCTAGAAGACTTGTTTAATTCCTGTGTCTACTTGTTATCTCCCTTGTCTACTTGTTATCTCCTTTGTCTACTTGTTATCTCCCTTGTCAACTTGTTATCTCCCTTGTCTATTTTTTATCTCCGTTGTCTACTTGTTATCTCCGTTGTCTACTTGTCTATTTGTTATCTCCGTTGTCTACTTGTTATCTCCCTTGTCTACTTGTTATCTCCCTTGTCTACTTGTTATCTCCCTTGTCTATTTGTTATCTCCGTTGTCTACTTGTTATCTCCCTTGTCTACTTGTTATCTCCCTTGTCAACTTGTTATCTCCCTTGTCTATTTGTTATCTCCTGTCTACTTGTTATCTCCCTTGTCTATTTGTTACTTGTTTTACCCCTTGTCTACTTGTTATCTCCCTTGTCTGTTTGTTATCTCCTTTGTCTACTTGTTATCTCCTTTTTCTACTTGTTATCTCCTGTCTACTTGTTATCTCCCTTGTCTATTTGTTTCTTGTTTTACCCCTTGTCTATTTGTTATCTCCGTTGTCTACTTGTTATCTTCCTTGTCTATTTGTTATCTCCGTTGTCTACTTGTTATCTCCCTTGTCTATTGTTATCTCCGTTGTCTATTTGTTATCTCCGTTGTCTACTTGTTATCTCCCTTGTCTATTTTTTATCTCCGTTGTCTACTTGTTGTACCCTTGTCTACTTGTTATCTCCCTTGTCTATTTGTTATCTCTGTTGTCTACTTGTTATCTCCCTTGTCTATTTGTTATCTCTGTTGTCTACTTGTTATCTCCCTTGTCTATTTTTTATCTCCTTTGTCTACTTGTTATCTCCCTTGTCTATTTGTTATCTCCCTTGTCTACTTGTTGTACCCCTTGTCTATTTGTTATCTCCCTTGTCTATTTGTTATCTCCGTTGTCTACTTGTTATCTCCCTTGTCTATTTGTTATCTCCCATGTCTACTTGTTATCTCCCTTGTCTATTTGTTATCTCCCTTGTCTATTTGTTATCTCCGATGTCTTCTTGTTATCTCCCTTGTCTATTTTTTATCTCCGTTGTCTACTTGTTGTACCCTTGTCTACTTGTTATCTCCCTTGTCTATTTGTTATCTCTGTTGTCTATTTGTTATCTCCCTTGTCTATTTGTTATCTCCTTTGTCTACTTGTTATCTCCCTTGTCTATTTGTTATCTCCCTTGTCTACTTGTTATCTCCCTTAATAACTCGTGGTCTGTCATGTAAACATATTCCCTTCTTTGTGAAATTGTTCTCTTGTTAATTTATCTATGTTTATGATACAGGTTAACTTGTTACTGCTGTTACATCAACTTATAACTGAAACAAATGTGTAAAGCACCATTAATCAATGTTACTCTTTTAACTGGGACAGTTAAGACCTTTCAATCAATGTTACTTCTTATAATCCGGACAGTTTAGACCCATCAATCAATGACTTTTCTTCCTGAACATTTGTAATTACAATTAATATGTATAAAGTATTTATGTAATTTAAAGCACATCTCACTGCATGTGATATTCTATTTAACTATTTCTGAGAGTAGATAAAGTTTTTATTTCTACTTGTACGTACTAGAGGTTATCAGTATTATGCTTTTTGTGGAATACACAATGTACTTTAATGTATATTTGTCTTCAGGTTTTGTTAATATAATTTATAATATTGCAGGATCTACTCACATTTCACAGGTAATGATATTATCACTCACAATGATCTCACTGTTTTTAAGCATGTTATGTTATTTTTCTTGTTACATATGTATATGGATTGTGTTTCATTGACATATTTACAGATTGAGCTTTCAACATCAGTTATCACAGTTTTATCTGGCAGACCACTGATTATTGATTAAACATTTACTGTACAAATTTATAATCTTGGTTCCGCACTATTTACCCAATACATTTATAATCTTGGTTCCCCACTAGTTACCTAATACATTTATAATCTTGGTTCCCCACTAGTTACCCAATACATTTGCTTTTCGTTTTGTAGTTCACTCTGCACAATGCCGTTGTGCCTGTTCTTCAGTCATCAATTTTTTTAAATGATCTTCTAATGAATCCTGAGTTGTTCTTGAAATCTATAAGATATAGACTATTTATAATTAACCTGCTTTGCTGGGATGAAAAGCTATCGATTGATAAAATCACTTCCTATGTGAGCTATGTCCCATGCATTGTCATTAAGAGATAAACTAACTCCCTCTATTGGGGTATATTCATGAAGAGATAAACTGCCTCCCTCTGTGGGCTCATATGTACTAACATTGTCACCAAGCGTTACACTCCCTCTGTGGTCTACTATGTACTAACATTGTCACCAAGCGTTACACTCCCTCTGTGGTCTACTATGTACTAACATTGTCACCAAGCGTTACACTCCCTCTGTGGTCTACTATGTACTAACATTGTCACCAAGCGTTACACTCCCTCTGTGGTCTACTATGTACTAACATTGTCACCAAGCGTTACACTCCCTCTGTGGTCTACTATGTACTAACATTGTCACCAAGCGTTACACTCCCTCTGTGGTCTACTATGTACTAACATTGTCACCAAGCGTTACACTCCCTCTGTGGTCTACTATGTACTAACATTGTCACCAAGCGTTACACTCCCTCTGTGGTCTACTTACTATGTACTAACATTGAAACCAAAACAACCTCAGTCCCTAGGGATTGGATTTAGTCAGTATGACATAAGCTCAATTTCATTTTCCGAAGATTTTTTGGCTAAAACAAGGAAACTGGTTGGTGGTTCTTAAAAGTAAGTGTGTTAAAATATAACAATTCCTGTATCTGTCATCTTTCAAAAAAAATATACAATATTTAGATGTAACAGTTTCATTTTCCGCCATTTTATAGAATTCTACACAGTGCAAAATATCTCCCTAGCTACTGAATCTAAATAACACACAGCTCTTGAAGAATCTGTCTGTGACATTTTGCTGCTTGTTTGCCATTAGTGCTAAATGTCTTGTATGTGAGTGACAATCCAATGTAAAACATGTTAAGTTTTGCCTGGCGACTAGATCTGTTGTAGTAGCTGTTAGCTACCTTTTTTGTATAGGTGTTTAACTAAAATCTTAAATAAAGTATGGATGCAAAAATTGATGGTTGTTGTTTTTTCAGCTTGTAATTTCTAAAATATTTCAGTTTTATTCTTCATGACATATTGTTTTAGTACTGGTTCTAATAATTTCTCGTCCAGGCCTTAAAAAGGTTTACTGAAGTCACTGACAGGCTAATAGAGGCTTCTCCATCTTACCAAGTTCACACAGTATTCGGGTTTGTTGAAGATGACATCAGAAAGAGTGAAGTTGAGAAGCTGAAACTACAGATGAATCGGCTTATCTGACCTTGACATTTAAAAAAATGACATGAATTAAATTAAGGTGAACAGTCTATCTTTATCAAGTACATATTGTAAAATGATAAAATTTGTTGTTAATTTTAGAAATAATTAATTCTGGAGTGCAAACGAAATCATTGATTAGACTCCACACACACATAAAGATAACAATACGCATACCATTGATCAAGGTCACCTTTAGATGTCAAAGGTCGTAATTGCCATCTGGAGCTACTAACAACTGTAAACAATTCAGGGTGGAGGTCAACTATTTTTACTTTTCAAAAAGGTCAAGGTCATTTATGCAGGTACTGAAATATGGTATGCATGTTTAAATTGTTGTTACAATGTGCTTTGTAAGATTGATATAACACGAAGACAAATCATGGTAAATAGATTTTATTACTGTATAAAACCTACAATAATATACAGTGGTATCAATGGGTAATATATATCTAACATGGTCAACACAGTGCTCCTTCAGCATTACAACTTCTATCTTTGGGATGAAAATAAATTCTTTCTTCTGTTAGGTTTAAGATCGTACTATCTGTAAAGATATTTGATCCTTGTCATATCAGACACTCGCAAGGTGGTTCACAGACAAATTCATTAACCCATTGTTTTTATCTAAAAATACCTACAAAATATCACACACAAACCATATAATAATAATTTCCCTAAAATAGGTTTATCCCTGTTAATATTACAAAAAATACCATTTGATATATCACAATGAATGATGACTAAGACATTAAGAAATAAAATAATGAGTTGGACGGACAGATGATGTCTGCATTTTCTACTTCAACATGTAAACTCAACATTGAAAAAATAAATATATCTATAATAATACGAGTATGAAATATATTCTCATTAGCTATTAAAACAGTCCTCTTATCACCAGTGTCACAGCAGATATGTAGATATAGACGATTACTCATGATTTCATGGCCCTGAAGCACAAAGGCTGAGGAAAAAACACCCAAACCCTATAACAAAAACTGGCTCGATGATAATCAATGATGAAAAACTAGACAAATGATTCTGAGAAAATTTACTCATTAAGGTTTCCATAGACACAAATTTCAACATGAATTTGGCCTCATGTAGATTTTCACTGCCCTGTCAACAATTTGGAAGTTGACAGGGTTTTTAACATACCAGGTCAAAGTAAGGAGAGCAGCGTAGAAACAAGGGTAGGCCAAACATTTCGGGGTACGTCGGTCCAAAGTAAGGAAAGGGTTAGAAACGGGTTTAAACAAGTAGGACAGAGTTAAAATCACTACAATATTGATAAATAATCATTTAAAACAAATAAAACATTCACCATCAACAATCCTTTTGTAACGATCAATGATGTCATATACACTGTTAATGACGCTGTATGGAATGTTGGGATGGTTGATATGAATGGTTGGTGTTCACTGGACCGGTAACGGCCGACTCCCGACATCACTGAGGTGTTATAAAGTTCATGATCAACAATTTTACATGTCCTCCATCAACTACCAGCGTTTAATATACCGGGTCTGAAACAAGAGTCGAAACATCAATGGTAACACTGTCACGCATCCTTTACAGCAGCTCATACAAGTAACCACTGGACAATCACGCCAAACATACAAAAATGGTCAAAGAAATGGATCTTAAATCTTTGTCTCAACGGTCACTTTGATATACTATATCTTTATCATAGCACTTTTTTAATATTCATAATCCTTATAAGTTATTCAAATTTGTATTAGTACTCACATATCCATCCATGAACGATTCCACACAAATACATCAACAAATTTCTGATGTCCTGATTGAAACCTCACATATATACCGAGGCAAGAATGTGCTCTACTGGGCAGGAACGATACACAGAGAAGTGAGAGGAAGACCTCATATATACTGAGGCCAGGATGTGCTCTACCGGGCAGTAACGATACACAGAGAAGGAGGGGAAGACCTCATATATACCGAGGCCAGGATGTGCTCTACCGGGCAGTAACGATACACAGAGAAGTTAGAGGAAAACCTCATATATACTGAGGCCAGGATGAGCTCTACTGGGCAGGAACGATACACAGAGAAGTGAGAGGAAGAAACATTAATGATCGTACAATCAAGGACAAACAAAATATATATATCACAGTCGCTTGGACAGCATGACCCTGGTCAGGTCAAATTAAATAAATCAACAATAGAAGAGAAGTATAATTAAAACAAGAGTAAGCACGCAGGAAAGCACACAGATGATTAAATACATTTTGTTGAGAAATGTAAAATCAGACGTTTCCGCAACCTGTGATCGTGGTGCGAACATCTGTTACTTGCTCCCCTGGGTGTTACTGGGGTGACATCTCCAATGGGACGGAGTGACAGCTCCCCCGATTGTTTATATATATAATATATAACCCAAGAAAGAAAATTATAAGTTTAAGCTTACTGATAGAGAACCAGTACACTTTATTAATAATCAAGAAAGTTCACACAGTAAAAACATCTACAAATGTGAGATTGTGAGTTAAAAACCTTCAAACTTTTATATAAACTAAAATACAGTCAGCTTAATGTGCAGAGGTCATTTACTGCAAGATTTCACACCAGTAGACAATGTTGTACACCCAACCTCACTTCATTACTTCTATTGATTTTGGACTCTTCATCAATTTATTTATTAGCATGAAAATTAAAACATGTTTAACAATATTTCTCCATTAATAATTGATGAGAGTGTTTTCTTAGTGCCAAAACAACTGTTGTAAAAAAACAAATTCACGATAACCAACATCACAACAAAATAAACATTGGTTTATATTTTTTCTTGCATAAAATGACCTTTCCACTTTGGAGCTGATAACAAAAATAAATAAGTTACAAATAGTACTGATCTACTACTACCATCCAGTCATTAACCGTTTACAATGATAACAGACTACACAGCTATATATATAGCTACCTGGACAGGATACATACTCACACATTAATCATACAATATATACACTAAGCCCAATAACACAGGTTTACAAGTTATAGCCCATTATTTCTAGGATAAATATACAGGTTTTCTGGTTTGGATCCATCACCAAGTTATGTTCAGTCAACAGGGTTAGCTGTGTAAGGATCGCCAGGTGCGACCAAAGCGTTTTAGAGACAGACAGTCTTTAGATGATAAGGTAGAATATGTAGGTTGGAGCCTGGAGACAAGACTGGCTGACAGGTGGCTGTCGTTACCACAGACCTGAGCTGTATGTGCTTCGGCGTGGGCTGGGTGAGCGACTGCGACGTGTGGGGCTCAGAGATCGGGAGCGAGAGCGAGGGCGTGGGCTTGGGCTGATGGAACGGGACCGAGTGGGGCTCCTACTCCTCCTGGACATGCCCTGAAATGCAACACAAACCCACCGTGTCAATGTGAGGGGGACGTGACAAAAATGTGTCAAATAGATAAAACTGGGAAGTGATGTAAAATTAATTATATAGAACAGAATCAAATAAAACTTGGAAGTGATGTAAATTAATTATAAAGTACAGAATCAAATAAAACTGTGTTTGAACAACATATATGATAGAATTAACAAACAGTATAATGATGAGAATATGTTCTTTGTGCCAAAATAATTGGTTGAAAAACAAATTCACGACAACTAACATCACAACAAAATAAGCAATGGTTCTACCATTGAAGCTATCACCACGGCATGCATCTACTAAGGGGAGACAACTTATCCAGAAAGTCAGAGGGGACCAATGGAGTGCATTTAGTGAGGAAAATGTTTTGGAAATCTTATGAAAAATAAATAAAACCTGATTAAAAATTAAGAACATGTTTTCTTATAAGGCAAGACAGTATGTAAACATAATGGAAATATCATTAAACTTACAGAGTAAACTTTCTATTTATTTCAAAATAAGCTATAACCAATACTTTGAATTGTTCCAAAATATTTCCTACTGAACACAGCCCAGTCAGAAGAAACAAGGGCAGACAACTTACCAGAGAGGCGCCACGGCGAGTGGTGGCCTCACCCTTCATCACCACCTTGGCTCCCTGCATGAGGGCCGCCCACACATGATGGTTCACAAGAGGTGCTGTATACTCAGAGTCATAAGTCCTTCGGTATCTGTGGGACATAAAACAATTTTACAGCAGTCCATTAAAAAATCAAGCCCTGAATTTGAAAGTTTAAATCTCAAAATAAATAATTCAATTTTATCTTAGCAATGCTTTAAAGACATAAACTATTATAAGAAGGCCGTCCTTAAATGACCTTAGCTGTTAATAGGACGTTAAACAAAATCAAACAAACAAACAAACAAAGGAACACAATTTGAATTGTAAGAAACATTGAGTTAATTTGGTTTTGAACATTGTTTTAGTATGATTCAATAATTTAAGCAATCTCTTTTTAACCTAGAATTTCTTTCACAAATTTATACACCCTTGCGTCCAAACTAGCATTCAAACAAGTGTGAAATGAAAGACCTTACTTGTTGTTGTCAAACAACTCAGCATCCGTAGCTACAGCAATGTCCATCGGGATAGCTAGGGCATTCATCTGCCAGGCCAGCTTGCAGCTTTCCCTGATAAATGGCTGAACGATGGCGAAGCTACAGTCGGGTGGCAGGAAGATCTTGGGGCTACGGTTCAGTCCTCGGATCACGTCCTGTGAATTGGCAAACTGATTTACGAGGTGCAAGATAAATTATATGACTCTTGTGTGGTGGCTGATTTCATTAGTAAGAAGCCAGCTAGCAAAGCCACAGCAATCAGCATCTACCAAACCTGTCATACACCAGTCTCAGCAAGAGACATCAGCAAATCATACCGCATGGTTCAACACTGACAACACCTTAATAACTGCACCGTCCAACAAATACAATGTATTACACTACCAACAAATACAAAGTAATACACTAACAACAAATACAAAAATAATACACTACAAACAAATACAATGTAATACACTACCAACAAATACAAAGTAATACACTACCAACAAATACAATGTAATACACTACCAACAAATACAATGTAAAACACCACCAACAAATACAAAGTAACACACTACCAACAAATACAAAGTAACACACTACCAACAAATATAGCATAATACACTACCAACAAAAACAATGTAATACACTACCAACAAATACAATGTAATACACCACCAACAAATACAAAGTAACACACTACCAACAAATACAATGTAATACACTACAATGTACCAACAAATACAAAGCAATGCAGACAACAAATACAAAGTAGTACACTACCAACAAATACGAAGTATTGCAGAAATTACATACAAAGTATTGCACAGACATTACATACAAAGTAATGCACAAACATTACATACAAAGTAATGCACAGACATTACATACAAAGTAATGCACAGACATTACATACAAAGTAATTCACAAACATTACATACAAAGAATTGCACAAACATTACATACAAAGTAATGCACAGACATTACATACAAAGTAATGCACAGACATAACATACAAAGTAATGCAGACATTACATACAAAGTAATGCACAGACATTACATACAAAGTAATGCACAGACATCACATACAAAGTATTGCACAGACATTACATACAAAGTAATGCAGACATTATATACAAAGTAATGCACAGACATTACATACAAAGTAATGCACAGACATTACATACAAAGTAATGCACAGACATTACATACAAAGTAATGCACAGACATTACATACAAAGTAACACACAATTGTCTATGATAAAGTTGATATTTGCTAAATATTACATGTACATGAAATTCAAACAATCAATCAATCTTACTTCTACTGATGAAAAAACCCACAGCAAAAGCATTCCACTGCAAACCAACTTTAAAGAATATATATACATTATTGGTTCCTAAACTTTTCTCATATGAATCAAAATATAGTAACAATTACGAAAGAAAATAACATCACCAAACCCTTCATGACCAAGGTCTCATTTAATAAAGCATTACCTACTTCATTACAAAATAATCTCTGTTACAGTGTCTCCAACAACCACTGTAGGACTGACATAGCATGAAACAACAGACTGAAGACTTAAATAATCTGTTACAGTGTCTCCAACAACCACTGTAGATCTGACATAGCATGAAACATCAGACTGAAGACTTAAATAATCTCTGTTACAGTGTCTCCGACAACCACTGTAGATCTGACATAGCATGAAACAACAGACCGAAGACTTAAATAATCTCTGTTACAGTTTCTCCAACAACCACTGTAGATCTGACATAGCATGAAACATCAGACTGAAGACTTAAATAATCTCTGTTACAGTGTCTCCAACAACCACTGTAGGACTGACATAGCGTGAAACAACAGACTGAAGACTTAAATAATCTCTGTTACAGTTTCTCCAACAACCACTGTAGATCTGACATAGCATGAAACAACAGACTGAAGACTTCTGACATGATCATTTAATTAAACATTACCTACTTCATTACAAAATAATCTCAGTTACAGTGTCTCCAACAACCACTGTTGGACTGACATAGCATGAAACAACAGACTGAAGACTTCTGACATGATCATTTAATTAAACATTACCTACTTCATTACAAAATAATCTCTGTTACAGTGTTGCCAACAACCACTGTTGGACTGACATAGCTTGAAACAACAGACTGAAGACTTCTGACATGATCTCCTGACAGGTTTGGTGATGTTATGTGTCCTGTTTACTCACCGACACCATTCCTGGGAGGTCGTAGAGGTCAGTGTTCCTGTTAATGTAGTCCTGTACAGCCTCCTCCAGTGTCTCTGGTCCAATGTGTGTGGCTGCCAGGTTAGCACGCACCTTCATCTTGAACTGACGGAATGCCAGCTTGGCTACACTGTGTGATTCCTACAGTATGGATGGAACCAAAGGTATATTCTCATATCAGTCAAATAGTAATTGAAAACAGGACTTAAATCTAAATTCAAACTCAATGTAAAAATATGTTTCCATTTAATCTCTTATATCATTCCAAGTGTTGAAGGTACTATACCGACAATATCCATGGATTTCTGTATTTTAACAAACTATTTATTTTTTCAAAGAACTAATGTGAACAAATGCTAGAATCCATTGACCATTATGTCTTCTAATATCACAATTACTTTAAGAGATGAATGTAAAGACTGCAGTAAATTTAATTACAAGTTATGTATTCTGCTAAAACTCGAACAATTTTTTGTACACAATCTCACAGATTTTTTTCGATAGCATAAAAAAAGTATCACATGGAAAATAATATGCTGAGCAGTAAATACCGGAGTAATAACTGAAAAAGCAGGATGTTTTAAAGTGTGATACAAACCTGTACAGCAAGGAAGATGATGCGCTGGTTGTTCTCATGGTCATCAGAGAACCGGCGCAGAGTGTCCATGGCATCGAGTCGGTCCTGGTTGTACATGTCATTCCAGCGCGAGACCAAGTTCTGCTGACGCACTCTCAGGACGGGGTCGTCAGGAGAGCAGGGTGACCCGATACGGGGGGTGTAACGGTAGGAGGACAGAGATCCATAAATGTCGCTGGGGACAGATACAGCAGGGTTTAGGCAACCATCTTTTACTAAATTGTAATGACCGTTTCAATACTTTTCATTATTAAATTGTCTTCTCCAATTTCATGTAATTAACATATTTAATTTTATAAGAAAAATATATGCATGAAATATTATCTTTCAATTGATACACACCCAGTTCCAGATTTCATTACTTTATTTAGTTAATACAGAATACATATATATTTAATTGACTTTGTGTACCATTAAAAAGAAAACTGACAATTTTTACGAGTAAATTATGTGTCAAATATTCAAATTAAGTGATATCATGCAAATACATCTAGGTGAAGAATTTATTAAATTACAATAAATGTATTGTTATTTCATGTTTATGTTTGTAAATTTGATTTCCTGTTAAATCACGGACAAAGAGATCAGTGTTAGTGCATGCTGAGGGAGTTAAGTTTGGATGAGCGTGATCAGCTACTCTGACGTAACAATTAACACGACCATAACAGTCCCCTGGCTAACTTACACTTTACCCTAGTAACTTACACTATACCCTAGTAACTTACACTATACCCTAGTAACTTACACTATACCCTAGTAACTTACACTATACCCTAGTTACAGCAGAAATTCATTCACCACAAGCATTTTTATGCAGAATTTCAGAACTTTTAACCATTCTGCATATCATGTAGCAAATCACCAGTGCTGACAAAAGTTAAGTACTTGAAAGGAATGTACATTAACACATCATCTAAATACGAATTTTTGCCAATAACTTGTATTTGACTGAGGGCAAGGAAACAAATTGTATTTTATTATGAAAGAAAAAGATTTCACTCTTTAATCACAAAAAGTGTATTTTCCATCCTTACTATATTCTACAACTCGAGTACAACTACATGATTCAAAATGGCGACAAAAAAAAGTATAAAAACAAGTGTTTTTCTTTATGATAATTAATCTTAAATGTTGGTGTTTTTTTCACAAACAGAAAAGCCTCACTTTCCTAAACACTCCTATAAATGAAGGAAATTCCTTTCGTTTTTCCATGGGGAAACCATTATTGAAGTTAAGGATTAATCAAAGTTAAGGAAAATCCTTAATTTAAGGAATGTTCATGAAACTGGAAGCTCTTCTTCACATAAGGACATGTTTTAAAAGCAACTTCAGTCAATAGAGATTAAGGACCACATCAACTTCAGTCAATAGAGATTAAGGACCACATCAACTTCAGGAGGAAAACTGTACTGATGTTGGCGCCCACTAACTAGTATGGAATTTCAAAGCATTTAAAAATGTCTTACCTGGATCGTTTAGGGCTTTTAATAAAATCAAAAATGAATGATATCAGTAAGCTTTCCACATGTTAGCTAATGTCACACTACCTGTGATGATGATGAGGACAAAGTGTCTTACGGTAATCATTAACTCAGAATCAACAGGTCATGGTACCGATGTATTTACTGGTTTATCTCTATAGGCCTTAACATCTCATCCACACAAATGTAAACATTCAAGCAATCCGGCATCAATATCAATACCATTTTGTCTGCCTCAAGCTCAGCTTTAAGTTTCCCATATACTTAACCTAGAAACTCAGACTGAGGCAGACATCTAGTGTTGGAAACATTGAGCCAGCAATTTAGTTTTCATTTGTTTGGATAAGTTGGAATGGATAATTGGGTTAAGATTTGACAAATTATTTCTTTTTTCACTAACTGAGAACTAAATAAAACAATACTACATCCATCAAATAAAGTTTACACAAAACACAGTGCTTAAAAGATTCAAACTGTGATGAAAATGGAAAAATTAACTTCACATCATTAATCTGTGATCAAAAGTGGTTCTGAAAAGTACCAAAAGCATCTAGTGAAAGGGATTCAACGTGATCAATTTAAATGATATTTGTAGGTTTTCGTTTTCCATCACCTTCAGATATAAGGCTTACCTATCAAGATAGCTCTTTTTGGAACTGACAATAGAGAGCTCGTCCCTAAGATTCCTTAACTCCCGCTGATAATCATCAACAAGACCAGATCTAGCTCGTAACTTGACAATTTCGTCCTGGGAGTCGGCCAGCCTAAAGAAAACAAGGATGGATATCGTCCAGGGTCACATAGAAACAGGGGATACACACCTCTCTGTCATCATCCAACCCATTCTTGTATCGCCATAAGCAAATGTCTCCAATTTCAAATAACAAAAAGCACATTAATATGCCATGCATTAGTTCCTCATTTATCCAGTGATGCCAGAAAGCAAAACAAAGAAGATTTTACACAAAGAATATTTACTTTAAAACAAGTCAAACATTCAAAAGCTTAACAATGAGAAAGTGTCACCTGTTCCATGCAGGGCATATTTTTATTATTTAATTGCAGTATGAAACTTATTTTCAGACTTAAATTTTATTTTGGTTTAATATGCATTAACATAAGATCAAGCCACTGTAAACCAAACCAAAACATGAGTGGACGAGATCAGTGACAAGGTTTTAGTAGGTTCTCCTCTCATTACCAGCTAGTTAACCTTGGCACGATATCATCATTTACTTCTCTACAATGAAAAATCAAGGGAGATAATCACATTTCTTTCTATTTAATGTGAGGCAAGGTAAAACTGAATTTAAAAATGTTGCCAGTGATATGACAGTTAATATCTACAACCTAAAACTCTCATTTTCAAAATGATGTTATCAAAGTACAAGTACATGTGTAACAAAATATTACAAATTGACATGTTTTTCCTTTGAAATTTAATTCAGTTCAGTCTATAGTAAATCCTGAAAATGTATTTCTTTCAATACTGAAAATTGTATTTCTTTCAATAGTTTCTTTCAATAAAATTTCACAACAAAATAATTTCCTTCAAAGTATCAACACCATCAGTGAACAATTAAAAGAAGAAAAAAAATGCAAAACCAGCACCCAAATAATCCAAGATAAAATTTCCGTTTAGACAACGTAACATCTATGTAAAAACACACTCTTTAATGCCCTAAAAGTTTCAATATAAAGCAAAATATTCCTTTAGAAATGATTAAGCTGATCATGACACACATTAAAAACATTTTTAATACACACTAACACCTGCTTATATTTCAACAAGAATGGGTTTAGGTGTACACAGAGAACAAGTTAGACACAAAAAGCTCCCTTCTCCCGAGGCAAAACGGCCGACAAAACACGCTGTAAAATAAATATGATGGGTACAGGTTTGGGTACGCTATATGACAGGATGTTAGTCTGACACAGGAGCCCTTAGGGATGAGTACGATGATGTAGAGGATTAGTGTGATGATGTAGAGGATGATTAGGGCCTCTGGGATGAGTGTGTTGCTGATTAGGGTGAGTACGACAATCAACATTCACACAATGGACTAGCAGCTAATGATAAGTGCAGTTTTAACATGTAAACACAGTCAAAGTTCTTGCATAACAATAACAAAAAAATGTTTGCCAAATATTTTGCAACTTTTGAATCAAAACCCTGCCCAGTGTTACAATTGTTCTCAATAATACTGGGCAACTACTGGGGCTTTCATAAATCGCCAACTTTGTCTTGAAGAAAATTTATAAGCGAAAAAAATATATTCTAGTAGGATATCTTACGATCTGTTTTGCTTTACATTGAAACACAAGAACTTGAACCATAAAAAAGTATCATCTAGATCACACTGAAGCTTGCTACAAAAGCTCTTGACCACGTAAAACACAGCTGTGGTCACGACCGACTACCTGTCTTACCCCGACTTATTGTCTTTAAAAGAATCTCTCTTTTTAGGTGGGTCATCTTTTAATTGCGAATGAGATGACACATAAGAGTCATCCTTTAGGGGCAATGACATGGAGGAGGAAGAGCGGTACAGAGAATCTCTCCTAGAGGTAAGCAATGCGATATCATCACGCAAGCGGCGCACTTGGGTTTCGTAATCAGTTAGCAATCCTGCTTTGGATCTTAATGTGCGCACCTCATCCTCAGCTATTGCGAGTCTAAAACAAACATGAAAACACACAATGATGGTAAGATGACAGCTGGTATGAGTGATATGACTGGGAACATTGGTACCTGTCCTCTACCACTTCTCATACATAATGTAGTGGCAGCATCCGAATCAAACATTCCAATGATCTCTGATCATACCAATAGTGTGTTCCTACATTTCTTTTTTCATATTCATGTACAACTTTTTAAAAATCTCTTTTATCACGATATGAAGATATTTTTATACTTTTTTTTTAATTAACAGGTGCATTGGTAAATATACTCAGTAATAATGGAATTAGTTTAAAAGGTAAGCATGATTGTAAGCTTCTGTTGGCTTTTGAATCTGCACAGTTCATTCAGATAATGTAAAGTTTTGATTATAACTACAGCAGATCACTGGTAGTGACACTGGTAGTGAGACTGAAATGGACACATGGACTGGACAGCTGGGTAAGGCAGGTCTATACCAGATATTGTATATGTTGGGTATTGATACCAGACAATCACTACATGATCTGTACAATAACACTACACCAGTACCTGTAGGAAATACTCTGCTGTTACAACACAACTCCACATATAAAAATACACCTACAATAGGTACTAATCAAGAAGATTGACTTTTGACCAGGTAATTAACAAAAAGGACTGCCAGAATTATTATTGCATATGTGTGCCGTTGTCCCTGTGAAATCTGATTACGTATGCAATTTTTCTCTTGTAGAAGATTATTATAAGAACATGCTGATTTACTGAAGCTTTTCATACAAATATTTGTGTGGTATAAAATATTTGTAACAATAGTGGAATATTGGCATTGTGTCCAAGCCTGAAATACTATATAGCAAATCGGTGATTATCACAGATTACCACGCTCCAGTACACACTATATAGTAAACTGGTGATTATCACAGATTACCACGCTCCAGTACACACTATATACTCTTCATCTATTTAAATATTAGTTGTGTCTGTGAATGCCAGCCTACAGTACAAGCTCTATAACAATGTGCCACTAATTATCCTTGAGAAGTGAGTGCTCTAGTCTCTATTAAAGCCCAGTGACTGGCCGCTGTGATGAGATTCCCAAACAGTACCACCACATCTACGTGACTGGTTCATGTCGGAGCTTAACACTGGAAACCTGCACTACAAACAATCACCCTGTAAAAAAGACCAGTTATCTTGCATGCTTGAACATGTTAACGAACAGCTCTGACATGACCCCAGCACACAAAATGTCTTCCTCTGTTCTGATATTTGAGACAGAAAATTTAAATGCGAATGAATGCAAATCAATTAAAAAAAACATATATATGAAAGCTGGAATTACAAAGCTCTGATTTCTTTGACAATAGTTAAAATCTTAGCTATCAATTTGACAACCAAATTATACTCATCACAGGTGCCAGATCTGCTGTGACCGTGGTTAGGTGACTGTGTATGGTATGTGGTGTATGATGTGCTGATGCAGTGAGCAACGCTGGTAGCACCAGAGCAGATGGCTAGGATCAGTTATATTTATACTGTATTGTACCAGTGATAATGGAGACCTGTTAAGGATGACAACTACAGGTAATACCAGGGATCACCAGAATTACCCGGAGATTACCTGTGTCAGTATAAACTGGTTACCACATAGCACCAGCACTTACAGCATCTCAATCCTGTTTATTGTGGATTCATACAGGCTGTATTCATTGCAATGAGTTAAAATACAATTTCAAGATGGCTGTCAAGCTTATCAACTGTTTCGAGACATTTCTTCAGGTTGGTAAGTATGAAATGTAGAAAGGTCCATACAGCACAGCCAGTGGAGTAGTTGAGCTGATGTTGCTGGTTAAACTGGTCGTGCTATATGAACCTTTCTACACCACTTACCAACTGTTGCCATTGTCCTAGGTCCTTATCACTGGTAAAACAAGCATTTAGGATTTATTGTAGACTTTGTGTTATTCTTCTGATCAGTGGGATAAAAACATGCATACATATAAATATATACATTCAACAATAACTTCATGATATATAATGCAAATTCAATTTTCATGAATAAAAAACAAAGTACAATGTATTATATATATTGCGAGGCTAATGTCAAAATTAGATAACACTATACATGTATATTAATAAAGAATTAAACAACTATGAATTATTCATATATTCAAGCATAATTTTCATCTTTTTATACCCGAAATTTTGACACAGCCATTATATCCAATAGCAAATTATTCATACATATATCCAATATAACAAATATCAAACACATTTCAATTAAAACAAACAACTCTCAATCTTAAACCATTTTAGCAAATACAAAGCCACATGCATGAATTTAGCTCTTGATGATCTGTCAGTAATATTTAAAACGAAATCATTTTTAAATCAAAAACTGCTTAGAAAGACTTTAAACTGACAACATTGAAGTACAAGACGGTTACATTAAAACCACTCCCCACTTAATACAACTCGACACATACACAGTATCATTACAAGGAAACACATGTCTCATCAATTAAGAAATAGTCTATCCTTATCAAATATGGCATTTGAATATTTTTATCTCTAAGTCAGTGTGACCCAAAAATACTTGAGTTATAAAGTATAATTTTCTATCTCTTTATTATTAAAAAAATGAATACATGTACATAACTATAAACTAGAATAAAGTGAGATTATTTTATGTAAATACATGACTAAAGACTAGAAAGGTACTACCCGATCAGACTGATATGATATAGGCTGGGAGCTCCTTAATCCAGAACAAAATAACAGCAGTTATAGCAGAAGTAAAAAGTGGACTAAAAATTATAAATGACGGTGATGAGTCCCACATTTATTAAGGAAAATTCCAATTTCTTGATCTGGTTTTTTGTTTAATAAATGTACTTGGATTGCTTTCATTTTCTGTAATAAGGATGTTCCCATATAAAAAACTACCGGTATAAAAAATTCTTCAAAACTACAGAGAAAAATCCCTTTTATCTACATGTATAATAGTGCACTTGAAATCTGCAGAGAAGATCTGTCTGACCTACACGTCAATGCAGTAGATTCTAATGTACCACTACCCCTCCTATAGTGAACACAAAGGATATTACCAAGGTCTATATGAAGTTGGAAGTACATAATGATAGTGTCCTCATATAACACCAGTACAAGTGACTGTATAACACTCCTATAGCTACAACCATCTTCCTCAGAAACAAGAAATCCTCCAAGACAATACTTATCTCACCATTACATGCAGAGCAAGTGTCCTCGATGGTGATAGCAAATAGAAATCTCTTATGGACAGAGTAGAGATTGAAAGCAAACAGGAGAGGTAGACCAGTCAGGCTATAGTAGACCAGTCAGGCTATAGTAGACCAGTCAGGCTATAGTACACCAGTCAGGCTATAGTACACCAGTCAGGCTATAGTACACCCACATGGATGGTGCCAACAATAGTCAACGCCTACAACTTGGTGCGGTGAGGGTATAGGGTGCTGATGCAATGGCGTGAGACAGGGTGCTGACTTAGCCCAGGTTGGCAATTTACACAAGGTACGATAAGTTTAATAGTCCTTCACTTTGAATCATAAAAAAATCTACATTTTTCAGAAGCTTGAAAATGTTCATGTGGAGACTGCAAGTCCTTAAATACTTTCGCAGTTTGTTTCTATTACTTAAAAAATCATTAACATAAAAACGGTGTGATTACAGTGTGTAAAATAAAATATTAGCTAACTCATTGCTGATATGTTGATTACGTATAAACAGCAAGAGGTATCTGATGTAACATGCTAACTGCAAAATCAATAATCTAATCTATTCCTAAATATCACATCAGCAAATGTTGAAACTTAGACTTGAAAGTATACTATTTAAAATGTCCCATAACAGCGAGTTGAATCTCTGAGAATATATATATAGCATCAATATTTGATGACAGAAACTAAAATCGACAAAGCATTTCCTGGTTAATTGAAGAAAAGGTTTGCATGATTAGGTTAGAAACAAGACATCTAGGAGCTATGGAGAAGCCAGAAACTGTCGTCACCACAAGTATAGTTGCCATGACAACAATTTACATATGTTTGTCTTACTTCCGCCTTAGCTCTCTAGTTTCGACCTCTGTTAACATTTTATCACTTGTTGATGTACGCAGAGTTCGGTTGAGCTCCTCTTTAGCATCCTGTAACCTGTTGAAAGTAGGAGAGAAACAAATATTCAAATTAACACAGGACAACAATAAATATATACAATTAGGTGCTTACTTTCTCCTCAATTCCTGTACTTCTGTTTCAAGGAACATCTTGTCACTTTGTGAAGAACGCATACTGCGATTAATCTCATTCTTTGCATCCAAAAGCCTGAAAAATCAGCATAATTAGGTCAAGAACAGATCTCCCTGATAATCCACCTTGTACGTTTTGCTTACAGATCCCCTGATAATCCACCTTGTACATTTTGCTTACAGATCTCCCTGATAATCCACCTTGTACATTTTGCTTACATATCTCCCTGATAATCCACCTTGTACATTTTGCTTACAGATCCCCTGATAATCCACCTTGTATGTTTTGCTTACAGATCCCCTGATAATCCACATTGTACGTTTTGCTTACAGATCCCCTGATAATCCACCTTGTACGTTTTGCTTACAGATCTCCCAGATAATCCACCTTGTACGTTTTGCTTACAGATCTCCCTGATAATCCACCTTGTACGTTAGCTTACAGATCCCCTGATAATCCACCTTGTACGTTTTGCTTACAGATCTCCCAGATAATCCACCTTGTACGTTAGCTTACAGATCTCCTGATAATCCACCTTGTACGTTTTGCTTACAGATCTCCCTGATAATCCACCTTGTATGTTTTGTTTACAGATCTCCCTGATAATCCACCTTGTACGTTTTGCTTACAGATCTCCCTGATTATCCACCTTGTACGTTTTGCTTACAGATCCCCTGATAATCCACCTTGTACGTTTTGCTTACAGATCCCCTGATTATCCACCTTGTACGTTTTGCTTACAATTCCTCAATTGTGACTCCCAAAATTGCCGTGTATGACTATCTCCTTGCCTCTGTCCATGGGATCACCCACAATGAACTTCAAAGGTCCGTTTTTTGTATTTAAGAACTATTTATTGACTATAGCCTATCTAACATTGGCTCAATCCTTTGTCTTGCACCCCTTCCTCACCCTCTCTACTGCAAGTAATGACTACATTTACAACTTTACACGTGGAGCCCCATCCATTCTCCTATCTAGTATATAAATCATGTGTGAAGCTATCAGATGTACCAATCATAAGTCAACCGTTACCATTTAATCACAGAAATTTACTCCCCAGTCACCATTTAGACTCTTCACTGATGTGATGAAACCTAAGTCAACCCCTTGTCATCCATTCCTAGAAATGTCACTCACTCATCCTTGACATCCTGTAGCTCCGCCTTCTTATCATCTAGATCTCCTTCCAAGTCCTGTAATGATTTCTCGTACATATCCTGGAGCTCGTCCAGCTCCCTATTTTTGCCAGCAGCCTCGGCGAGGACAGACAGACTGGCATCGGCAGTCATAGCTCCTCCAGTGGTGAAGAAGTTACCTCCGAGGAAGGGAAGGAGGCGGGACTTAATGATGGCTGACCCACCGTACATACCACCTGTAACAAACGTTTATATGATCACTGATCATACTTCTTAGAACATTCAAGTAAATGATTCCTGTGCTGTCATCGAACTCTAAATGTTGACTTATTAGATCTTGAAAATCAAAAATCCATCGTTGTATGTTATTAATTTCTATGTTATTTAACCAGGTTGAGCATAACAAATAAAGACCTGATCAAGAATTGTTTCATTTCAGCCTTGGTGAACCAATATTTGACCTAGTTTATTTAGTCACATGTAAACCTCATCAACATTGATAGTTGCATAATAAGCTACGGCTTTGTATTACATATATGCACTGTTAGAAGGTACTGTTTTAGTTTGTGACAACTGTCACCTGTGTAGCAGGTATCAGGTATAATATTTCAGAATTATATTTCATCTCTATTGAAGTCATATAATATGCTAGAAAAGGATGTGTACATTGTAATTGACCTCAATTTCTTTTCCATGAAAGTGGGAGGCATAACAATTCTCAGCTTTCTTAGGATCAAGTGATGAAATCAATTTAGGTTTTAGCTAAGTGACCTGTGAAATAAAGTTAAGTCTCTCCTTGCAGCTAGCACTGAGGTTTTGCATAGTGAAGCCAATGCTAAAAAACCAGACTTGACAATTGTGTAATTGAGCTATGAAATAAAGTTTGACACTTGTACTCAATTTGCAGCTTAAATAAAGATAAACACTTCATTTCATTTGATGTCAGTACTTCATATACAATGCAACAAAATTAGCACACAATAATTAAAGTCTTAAAAGAACTAACAAGATCAGTAGATTTATGGAGAAGGAGTGTATCTGTAAGACAAGCTTCAGTGTCTAACTCTGTTTGGATTGATAAGTTGGAGTTCATAGCCCAGTGAACCAGATCATGTAAGTAGAATACACACCCCATATTGTACACTGATACACACAATGTACTATAGTTAACATCAAACTGTAAATTCAATTGCCTCATTTTATTTGCTCCGTTCCGAAACGGTGATTTGGGTGACCTTTAGCATGAATTAGTTATTGTCAATTGTAGATTCCATTAGAGTATTGATTGTTCTGGATGAGTGTAACGGTGTTACCAGTATTTACCACTATTGTGTAGGATCTCTGCGTGCTGTGATAGCACACTAAAGGCTGTATTCCACATTTGTAAAGAAAATATTTAAACAATTTTGTGTTTCACATTGCATTCACAAAATCAGTATATAATAAACCAAAAAAAATAGCTTATATTTCCTTGTTTGTCAACATGATCTTTGTCTTGTAAACTTTTAACATGTTCCATTGTTAGTTACTACAGGAACATTACAAAGACCTTTTGTTAATGTAAAATGGAGGTCATTTCAGGACCTAAATCATTGAAGTTTTTATATTTACTGTTCTATCTAGAAGACAGAAATCTCATCAAAAATCATTTCCCTGTAGTTAAGATACACAGATCTGTCTCCTGACCTACTGACAGGGACAATACTGATTTCTCCCCTTATTCCCCCATATTGATAATAAGTTGAACAAACAGTTTTGTCACACTGCAAAAGTAAATCTGAGGAATTCCTTTGGTTTATCACTCAGCTATGATTCTCTATATTGCAATCCGATGCAGATAAATACATGCACAGTGAATATAAAGACAAGGGGAGATAACTACCACCAAGTGTTAGTATGCGGCAACAACACACATGGCACTTAAAAGGTGTTCCTATTACTGCTGGTTATTTTAGTTTACTTCCATTAGTTACCTTTTACAGTATGACAACTAAAGTCTAACATACATAAATGTGAACGATAAGGAAATTTTACTTGAGTGTAGACTATCATTTTACTTGAGTGTAGACTATCATTTTACTTGAGTGTAGACTATCATTTTACTTGAGTGTAGACTATCATTTTACTTGAGTGTAGACTATCTTACCTTCTGCACATCTACATAAATTAATGATCGATTGACTCGTTTTTTTCTCTCCTTTAAATTATCTTATAAACTGAGGTAGAAACTAAACTTTATTTGAAAAGCTGGATGTCTATGGTACTCTCCATTCTATAATGTTTTGTCAGCTGATTAAGACATCATTCCATTTTTAATGTCATGTAATAACTAAAATGTGTAGAAATCTTAAAGACAGTGAAATTCTTCACTGTATCCAACATGACTGCTGTCGTCCTAGGAATACCTCTACCCTACACACACTAGATGTTCTGGGAGCAGAGGTAGGAGGACATGTGTTAAGAGACTATCACACATATAGACGTACCAGCCACGGCAGTGACACTGAGGACATGTTAGAGAGTATCACACATACAGACGTACCAGCCACGGCAGTGACACTGAGGACGTGTTAGAGACTATCACACATATAGACATACCAGCCTCGGCAGTGACACTGAGGACGTGTTAGAGACTACCACACATATAGACGTACCAGCCACGGCAGTGACACTGAGGACATGTTAGAGAGTACCACACATATAGACATACCATTCACGGCAGTGACACTGAGGACATGTTAGAGACTATCACACATATAGACATACCAGCCTCTGCAGTGACACTGAGGACATGTTAGAGAGTACCACCCATATAGACATACCAGCCTCGGCAGTGACACTGAGGACATGTTAGAGAGTATCACACATATAGACATACCAGCCTCGGCAGTGACACTGAGGACATGTTAGAGAGTATCACACATATAGACATACCAGCCTCGGCAGTGACACTGAGGACATGTTAGAGAGTATCACACATATAGACATACCAGCCTCGGCAGTGACACTGAGGACATGTTAGAGAGTATCACACATATAGACATACCAGCCTCGGCAGTGACACTGAGGACATGTTAGAGAGTATCACACATATAGACATACCAGCCTCGGCAGTGACACTGAGGACATGTTAGAGAGTATCACACATATAGACATACCAGCCTCGGCAGTGACACTGAGGACATGTTAGAGAGTATCACACATATAGACATACCAGCCTCGGCAGTGACACTGAGGACATGTTAGAGAGTATCACACATATAGACATACCAGCCTCGGCAGTGACACTGAGGACATGTTAGAGAGTATCACACATATAGACATACCAGCCTCGGCAGTGACACTGAGGACATGTTAGAGAGTATCACACATATAGACATACCAGCCTCGGCAGTGACACTGAGGACATGTTAGAGAGTATCACACATATAGACATACCAGCCTCGGCAGTGACACTGAGGACATGTTAGAGAGTATCACACATATAGACATACCAGCCTCGGCAGTGACACTGAGGACATGTTAGAGAGTATCACACATATAGACATACCAGCCTCGGCAGTGACACTGAGGACATGTTAGAGAGTATCACACATATAGACATACCAGCCTCGGCAGTGACACTGAGGACATGTTAGAGAGTATCACACATATAGACATACCAGCCTCGGCAGTGACACTGAGGACATGTTAGAGAGTATCACACATATAGACATACCAGCCTCGGCAGTGACACTGAGGACATGTTAGAGAGTATCACACATATAGACATACCAGCCTCGGCAGTGACACTGAGGACATGTTAGAGAGTATCACACATATAGACATACCAGCCTCGGCAGTGACACTGAGGACATGTTAGAGAGTATCACACATATAGACATACCAGCCTCGGCAGTGACACTGAGGACATGTTAGAGAGTATCACACATATAGACATACCAGCCTCGGCAGTGACACTGAGGACATGTTAGAGAGTATCACACATATAGACGTACCAGCCTCGGCAGTGACACTGAGGAGTTTGAAGAGCTGCCCCTGGACCTTGGCGTTGAGTTCGATGATCTCACAACACCTGGCCACATTCTGATCACATGTGTTGATCTGTAAATACAAATGTAGAAAACATCTTAGTAAATCCATTGTAGATTAGTTTTCAAACCATTGTAGGTGGCCAAACTTTTAAATTAGATAACAATTAATCACATCAACTCTAAGAATTTCATATTTTACATTTCAGATACAGGTCCAACACTTCTGCTTTGAACACAACTTTTCTTTCGACCAATTATTTAAGGACAATTTTCATTTTATGCTTTCATGTACATAGGCATTGTGTATCAGGTCAATTTGTCCAAAACATCTTTGAGAATCTTTTGAGACACCAGAACTAAGAGGTCAAACTTCAAGCAAACGTCACTTAAACATATATAGGACCTCCTATACAACTACATAAGGCCTGAAATCTAGTCTTTAGAGAAGACATTAAATGATGTAATTCTGAAGCACAAATTCATTTTTTGTATCCCACCACAAAGTGGTGTGGGAGGTGTAACCTTTGTGTGTACATCTGTAAGTACATCCTGATGGGTAAGTGTTTATGTTTAGTGGTATGGGAGGTGTTACCTTTGTCTGTACATCTGTTAGTACATCCTGATGGGTAAGTGCTTATGTTTAGTGGTGTGGGAGGTGTTACCTTCGTCTGTACATCTGTCAGTACATCCTGATGGGTAAGTGTTTATGTTTAGTGGTATGGGAGGTGTAAGCTTTGTCTGTACATCTGTTAGTACATCCTGATGGGTAAGTGTTTATGTTTCGTGGTGTGGGAGGTGTAACCTTTGTCTGTACATCTGTTACTACATCCTGATGGGTAAGTGTTTATGTTTCGTGGTGTGGGAGGTGTAACCTTTGTCTGTACATCTGTTAGTACATCCTGATGTGTAAGTGTTTATGTTTAGTGGTGTGGGAGGCGTTACCTTTGTGTGTACATCTGTTAGTACATCCTGATGGGTAAGGGTTTATGTTTAGTGGTATGGGAGGTGTAAGCTTTGTCTGTACATCTGTTAGTACATCCTTATGGGTAAGTGTTTATGTTTAGTGGTGTGGGTGGTGTTACCTTTGTGTGTACATCTGTTAGTACATCCTGATGGGTAAGTGCTTATGTTTAGTGGTGTGGAAGGTGTTACCTTCGTCTGTACATCTGTCAGTACATCATGATGGGTAAGTGTTTATGTTTAGTGGTATGGGAGGTGTTACCTTTGTCTGTACATCTGTAAGTACATCCTGATGGGTAAGTGTTTATGTTTAGTGGTGTGGGAGGTGTAACCTTTGTGTGTACATCTGTTAGTACAGCCTGATGGGTAAGTGTTTATGTTTAGTGGTGTGGGAGGTGTTACCTTTGTGTGTACATCTGTTAGTACATCCTGATGGGTAAGTGTTTATGTTTAGGTATTGGCTACAGTACTACTACTAGGGCCACACAACTTCATATGCTTATGCATCTTTATGAATAGAACATGTTGCAACTTGCACAATAATTTGCAACCTTGGTCTTTGACCTTGAACTCTGTGGCCTTGATACATTTTCTAAGTTTAGGTCAGTTATGGATAAGTACCTATAGCTGAGGTTAAGAAACTTCACATGCTTAAATGCATCTTTATAAGTAGAACATGCTTAATGGTATTTTTGTGACCTTGACCTTTGACCATGACTTGTATGACCTTGGTGAAGTTTTATTGTTTACGTCAGTTATGGCCCAAGTACTCCAACTAGGGTCACACAACTTCATATGCTTATGCACTCTTTTAAATATGTTGGAATATATTTTTTGTAATTTTGACCTTTGACCTTGACCTGTGACTGTGCTTTAGTTTTTCAGGGTGTGAGCAGGGCATAGATGCCTTACAGACACATTTCTTGTATTGTAATGAACTGTGTTTTTGATATTTTTTTCAAAACAAGACATTTTTTAAAATAATTATTTAAGCATCCTGTTTGAATCAATCCATTTTTTCCTGAATTTGCTTCAGTTTTCAGATCGTGAGATTAACCTCTTTAAAAGCAAGTCTAGACAGAAAAATCAAAATCTTTTTTAAGCAGATTATATAATCACAAGCATATAATTGGACACCCACAGATCATCAAGGACGAGCAAAGTCTTCGTTATGTTGTGACACAAAGGCTCAGTCTGTTTCACTGATTTTGCCTACCTTACTGTAACAGTTTTCTCATTACACAATAGGACCTGTTGTATGTAGACGGCTGATAAGTGAAAGCTTTTCCTTTTAAAAGGCCTGTCAGACAGTTCATGGTAAAAACTTTTGTAACTTATATCCTACACAAACCTGCCTACTGATCCCTTTTGAAATTCCTGTGACATTTAAACCTGAGTAACAACCCCGTAGCTCCCGTTGAAGAGTACCTGGCCCCTACTTGTTACCTCTTAATAAGTTACAATGGAACCGTAATACCAGAGTATTAACCCTCTGTGTTTATCAAAACACACACTTATCTCAACGTAATGTCTTCCTTCCTACTGAACACATTTGCTAGTGAAAGGTTCACTTACTGAGATTTTGGAACCAAATTATTACCGGTAAAGTGAATTTCATGTGAACAGATATTTTAAGGAAGATGATTATTTTCAAAAAACAGGAGCAAAAGTATAATTGAGGAACAACCACATGACCCCTGAAAATTAAAACACAAACTGCTCTTTTGAGTTATCAAGAGAAACCTTGTCCTTCCCAATTAGCCAGTCGGATTCTATAAATGTGGCTGCAATAGCCTTTTCTCATCATGTGATTCAGAATAGTTATTTAGGTATCCAGGATTTCACTCACCAACATGACAACACTAAGTAGTGATGACAGACAATGACATAGGTGTACAGGTAAAAACATAAAAAAAACACTTGCTAAGTACCAACACTTTCTCCAAAGTTTGTAATCTCTGTTTACAAATCAGGGGCAGATTCCATAAGTTAAGAAACTAACTGGATCTACCAGAGGGTGTGTATTCAGTAGAATTGCCTGATAGACTACACAGACACAGGCATCTACGCTAGGTCCTTGTATCCATTATCTAACCCCTTAATCATTGATAAATATCTGGTGTAGATTCCGACACTCATCAATAATGCAAGACAACAGTACTAGTATTGGCTGTTTTTACACCAGAAGATTTGGAAACATCATTGACCTGATTTTCTGGTTGTACCTTATTCCACACTGGGGGGATTCTTTGCGTTTATCAGGAAATGAAACCTGTTGATATTGTCCAATCGTAACCATATCAATTACAATTTCATTCCTTAGCATGGTTTCGTTTGGACTTTTGGTGAATTGCTATCATGGTGTGTATTTGTTGAACATTAACAGAGGAGGATACACTGGTAAACTAGAATGTATTTAGCTTGGAATCCAATTGACAATATGAAGTATATAGATATAGAGCAATGAGTTAATATCTTATTTACGTATCTTACAGAACATGTTTGAACTAGCCATAAAAGTTACGTAATACTGTTGAATTAGTGATGTGAAAAAATATTATGATTAAAAAAATTCAAGTCATGTTTAAAATCACATTCTTGGACATTTCCATTCACAAATGAAGTTCTTAGCGATGTAAAGGAATGAGAAATAAGACATATAAAAACATGTCTGTTGTAAGTTTTGTCAATCTTAATTCCTGATGGCAAACCGTTTGACATCCACATCAGGCAAATCAAGTTTTTAAAGTATTTTACACAATGCACACTCCTGTGTATTTAAGTTAATCAAATTGATTTATATCATCCATAATTTGCTAATTTAGCATCACCTTTAGAGACTAAACAAATCAACAGATTACACCTAAGGATCCTCGCTACATGTTTCAGCATGTACATATATGTACCTAATTATATTTGTGTATTTTATTTTTCTCAGCTGAACGGATTACAACTTCTGAAAAATCATGCCTTTTCTAATATACCATGATACAATTATAATCTACAGGTACATGAAGTATTTCAGCATTAAATATTCTGACTACTTATACATTTGGGGACCATCATTAAATATTTTGACTTATACATTTGGGGACCATCAATTGAACCATTTTTTTGCGTAAATGAAGATTAAAGTAAAGTATTCTAAACTGATACCATCTTGATCTGTTTGTTTCGAAAAATGTATTGAAGTTGTTAACACTCGGAGGACTGAAATCAATGGAAATGACAAAAGTCATAAAGGTTTTATACGAGAGTTAACACTCGGAGGACTGAAATCAATGGAAATGACAAAAGTCATGAAGGTTTTATACGAGAGTTAACACTCGGAGGACCGAAATCAATAGAAATGACAAAAGTCATAAAGGTTTTATACGAGAGTTAACACTCGGAGGACTGAAATCAATGGAAATGACAAAAGTCATGAAGGTGTTATGCGTGAATTAGGCCATCAACATTTATATCACTTCTTAAAAATATAAAATTGATCCTGTGACATTCAGAATATTGATGATGTTTGACTTCCTTACAATTTCTAACAAGAATGACATCAATATTATTAAAATGTGTATTCTGATGTGTATGATTTGCCTGAATATTAACAGTTAGGGCTGAATGAAAAACTATGGCAGCAGAAAATCTGATTACACAGGCCCGGACTCAATAAGGATAAGACCTGGAGAGTATTTAATCAATTTACATGTTTGGAATTTACACTACGGAACCGATCAATACGCTGAGTACAATGAGAACATTTACCTAGCCTCCGTGATAAGTATTTATCTACAGCGTTCCTGTAAGCTTTACCTACTAATCTCTAAACGAATGTATACCAGGCAGATAACGGACAGATACACAGGTGAAAATTTCAAATTTTATAGCGACAATCTACCTAAGAGTGAAAACGTTTTCATCACAAAAGAATTCCATTGCACAGCAAAGAGTTGGATATTTGGCTTTTATCATATTACAATGCACAATTGATATTGGGTATGCAACATGTATTCACTGGCAAATATCACTTAAAAGTGAATTGATGACAGTAATTCACTTTAAAACACCTTTTTTGAGTAAAAAGGTGTAAAGCAAGCAATAAGAGGACTTATCAATTGTAACTTCAAGGATGAAAATAAAAGGAAAAATACAATTCAACAAAAAGTTAAATCTGTACATTTTTTTCACTTTATACATGTAAAGTTATTTACCGGAAATACAAGTATATGTACTCAAAATGAGTAATTATCATTTTACACCAAGGTTTTTACACCTTCTCTTTCAAATAGCTGCAGGTTCAATTACCTTCCTAATTTAAATTTTTAGTCTAAGGTGTGAGGAATGTCTCTCATTTTTCATGACTTTCCATTGGTATTGAATGCTAAAACCTGTATCGACGTTCAATTACATGGTGGTATCCGCCACCAGCTCCTACTGAACATAGGTAATAACTGATTATTCAAGTTGCAACAGGTTTATGTTTGAAGGTTCACCATAATTGCTTTACAGGTAAAATAAGGAGAGTTTTTAAACAATAATCTAATTATGTAAATAGAAGTTTAATAAGAAAGGCATTGTTTGTACAGTAACTTCTGCGGTCACGTTTACTGTAGCTCAGATCAGTCATGGTCTCGTAACAATGGACAGATCTCATAGCCAAGGAAGTCTGCAGGGGGTAAAATAACTATATGTACTTGTATACCTTTGTAAACCTCTAGCTACAGGTATGTTGGGGTGTGTGACCAACCATCATTACATTAAAGTTACAATATCCTAGTAATGCTTGGAATTCAGGCCTCTCTACAACTGTACTACACTCCAATTCGCCCAGCACACTGCAGTCTAAATGAATAATTATACAAAATGTAAAATTCCCAGTGGATTTAGTTAGTGACTGACTCTGCATCCTAATAGGATGTGACTGTCACGCTGCAAGCCCGCCATTTTCTCAGTTTCTATACATTACTATATTATGTACATGGATGATATGGATCTTGTCACAACTTGTCTTCAACAGCATGTGAACCTTATAGTCAGGTGTATAATTGAAAACTTGCTGAGACCTGCAGAATTCCAGTGTATTGGCGGCAAATGTATATATGTACATGTGTAGTACACCTGATCTACCATAAATATCTACATGGTTTTATCGGAGACATTCTTTGTTTGTTGACAGTTCAAGTTTCACAGATTGAAAAGACCATATACAAATCCTTCACAGTAGCCTATATATTTACACACGACAGATTGATGGGAGTGCTCCGACACATACAAAACTACTGTATAGAAGGGGTAATAAAGGTCCACCCTGGCCCACCCCAGCTCTCCTGTTGTAGTGGCCAGCCGTCCCAATACACTAACCAAACAATTGGGCCATTTACAGCGAGATCAATGTGGGATTTAGACGGTTGTAACAACTGATAAGTGACTGAAAGTTATTGACCCCAATGGCCTGTCAGACAAAGTACTGCAGTAGGTTATATATATTACTGATCACACAAGACAAATAATTATGATACACCTACCCAGATAAACTATTAAAAATAACGATTTTTTTACTCATTGAAATCAACTAGTAATCAAGTTTATAAATATTAAAAAAAAAAGTTTTTTAATATTATCTAAATGTATGCAAATAAGTACTGATTTATTTTATACAGTAAGTACTACATGTGATTATTTCCCAATTAAAACTGATATTTCTTTAATAAATACAAATAGTGTGTAGTATGATCAAAATATATTTAAAATCATGATTTTGATAAATTTGTTCATCCTTCTCTGCCAATCAATACTTAAATTCCTGCCACAGGTTGGCGTGCATGTTTGTCAGTCCTACAGCTGAACCTTTTAGCATGCCTGTACGATAACATCACCATAAAAACAGTTACAACAACAGTCAACAAATGGATTACAGATTCATTATTACACCCATAAATAGTACATGAGCATATTGATCATGTTTTATACAAAATACGGGGCAAATCAATACACAATTTTCCGGCTGTAATTTGTAGTACAGAGTTCTCCAATGACAGCCATCAGCATTTTCACCACCACTACACCATAGATACATAGCAGTATACCTCAGCTTTATAATTATATCAGAGATCCATCCATTTACAAAATGTTTTACTAGAACATAAAAGGTATAAAGCCGTTTTTCTTTTACTAACAATTTGTCAAAACTTTTAAATTCTCAGCTGGGATAAAAGGGCTGACAATAAAAAATACAATAAAACATAAATCAATAAATAAAATATCTCCTGTTTTAAAAATGATACTTCAGGTGTCGCCTTATGACGACCTCCTGCCACTGTGACCTGTGTTTGTATCATCAGATTTTATTCCATTCATACAAAAAGAGCACATCACCGATAAACAGATTCCAAAGCTCCTGATACAACTACTTAGAGCTTTAAGTCAACATTCTTGACATAGCACTTGAACAACACTACGTAGTATTTGAAGGGATATAGGCTATGTAAATTGAATATTGACGTGTGTGAGTAACGTCACTGCTCCAACACTATAACCACTAAGTCGTCTGCTGAGGGATTATAATCTTGCCCTCCAATGACCCCAGAGGCTGGTAGATAGTCTGTTCTATTGTAATGTAATGCCTCCAATTTTATTCAAAATACATTATCCAAAGCAGAAACTGCTGAGATGAACATTTATTCACTCTTTCCTCGATTATTTAAATGTCAAATGGTATTCATTCAATATCTAAAAATTTACGTAAGGTATTGTTGATAACACATTTAAATAGAATAATTAAATTCATAGCATTATAAAACCATTGTCATCCAGTTTAAAAGGCCTTGTAGACAAGAAACTAACCTTAATATCTAACGTTAATTATACATTTATGGAACATCCACTTTCCGTTTAGAACACTCTGCATGAAACTTCGATGATTTTTGAAAATGGTTCAAATTTATAGCTCAAAGATCTAAATTGTAGGAGAACTGTTTTTTCTTCGATGGCACATATTCATAAATGGAATAGAATAACACTTTGTGCACTTGATGACTGAAATATATTTGGTTATTTCTTTCATTAGAGCTGATTTTACTTTTCATTATTTTCCTGGCTTGAAGCTTACAGCTAGAAGAATTCTTAAAATAGTATGGTCTTCCACTACATACACCATGTATATTTCATTGTGTATACACTTTATGATTATAACATATACTGTATATATCATAATTCTGAAAGCTTTGAAATACAGAATTTGGTTAATCTGTCTTGGCTCATGTCCACTGTGCAAGCATGTAAAGTGTGTAGTGAACCGAAGCAATATCTGCTCCATACAACTATAGTTTAACTACTGCCAACAATAGTACTATACCTACTTATTGGATCAATGAAATTCTGAAACTGCTGATCTGCAGATCTCTGGGTCTAAATAAGACAATTCCTGGTAGAATACAGGATTATACCAGTCCTACACATCTCAAGGAGTGGACTTACGATCAAATCTATATGGATTATCTCTTGACATATACATACTCCAGTAATGTTTTGCTAGATAAAGCATGGATCAAGATGTTTACTTTTACAAAGAGGACTGTCATATACTATAGTTTATGAAAAATTATGACTAAATAAGTTTAATTATTCAAATTCACACTTTTTAAAGAACAACAAACTGTTTCAGTTTTCCTAGAGGATTCATAGAAGAAAAAGAAAATATTAATTTATAATATTTTAACAGCTGTATCAATACATAACTTATAATTATAATTTATCCTTGAAATTATATGTGTTGAATCTCTCAATTCTGAAATCTACCTAAAATGATAAAGCATGCCGTACAGTCTTATGCTGATATTTAATTTTCTGACAGTTACAAAAGTTTGATAACTTCTTTCAGAAATATTCTCTTGGAATATTAGGTTTCAGTCCACCGAGTCCGGACCAGTTTTTGCAAAGGCGGCAATAAAATCATAGCAATAATTTACACATATTATCCAATAGATACACATTATATTACTTAAGTTCTATGTAAACCAATTTAAAAATAAATGTAACGTGCACTGTCATTTTCAACAATCCCTTCGTTAAGTTTTGATACTTCACGAAATCACTCTGTCGGCCTAGCAACCGAGCCCGATCTTGACAGTTGTGGATATCATACGTGTTTATGCAAAATTTCCAATGGAAACAGGTGCAAAAATCTATTGAGACATGTAGAAATACCATAATTTCACCGTACTTACATAATAGTTTTGCAGCCATCTTTCTAACTTTTCTTGAAGCACGGTAAATGTACCGATATTCACCAAACGTCTCAAAGATTCCGCCATTTTCGACGCTTTCTATCCGGCTCTCACGACGATGTGATGACGCATGCGTGATGATAGTTTGTGTACTTCCTTTGGTAAAGTCACGTGATCACCTCACAGGTGTACGCAGGTGTGATAACGGAACTCCCTGCAAACTGTAAATAGATAACCACACTTTGACGTCAAACAGGATTTGATTAACTATGGAAGCAAACAAAATATAATTGTTTAAAATATATTTTAAATTAGCATTAAGGTATGGAAATTTCGACGATCGTAGCGTCTAACTCGTTTGAGCATTTTTTCTCGTAAAACGTACGTTGTATTTCCAGAAAGTTGACAATGCTTCAGTGGGACCATGTTTTATCTCTGATGTGGGGTTTTCTTTCGCTGTGTTATAAGATGTTGATCTAAGGTGGCTATAGCTAGCTCAGATCTGTTCCTTTTATTACCGTGACCATGAATTGTACAAAGTTATTAGAGAAAATAAACAAGAGGCCCATGGGCCTAAACGGTCACCTGTGTCCTACAGTATTTATTTTTATTGTTGAAATATGTACCAATTTGAGTACAAAATAGTTAAGTATAATGTTAACTTAAGTTTGTCAGGACCATGCTGATCATTCCTAGACCGACTTTCAGTTAAATCGGCCTATTAGAACTTGTTAGCTCACCTGCCCAGAGACGTATATAACAATATTATACGTCTCTGATCTGCCCGAAGGGCAAGTGAGCTTATGCCATGGTGCGGCGTCCGTCGTTCAACTTTTTACTTTAAACAATTTCTTTTCAGTAACCAAAAGGCCTAGGATGATGATATTTGGCCAGTAGCATGCTGGGATCAAGGGCTACCAAGTTTGTTCAAATAAATGACATTGACCGACTTTCAAGGTCACAGGGGTCAAATATGTTAAAATCTTCAAACAACTTCTTCTCAATAACTTAAAGGCACAGGGTACTGATATTGGGCCTGTAGCATGCCAGGATGAAGGGCTACCAAGTTTGTTCAACTGAATAACCTTGACCCACTTTCAAGGTCACTGGGGTCAGATGTCTTTAAAATCTTCGAACAACTTCTTCTCAATAACCAAAAGGCATAGGGTACTGAAATTCAGCCTGTAGCATGCTGGGATGAAGGACTACTAAGTTTGTTCGAATGAATGACCTTGACCAACTTTCAAGGTCACAGGGGTCTAACGACGCAAAATCTTCAAACAACTTCGTCTCAATAAGCAAAAGGGCCAGGGTACTGATATTGGGCCTCTAGCATGCTGGGATGAAGGACTATCAAGTTTGTTCAAATGAATGACCTTGACCAACTTTCAAGGTCACAGGGGTCAAATGTCGTAAAATCTTCAAGCGTTTTCTTCTCAATAAGCAAAAGGGTCAGGGTACTGAAATTGGGCCTGTAGCATGCTGGGATGAAGGACTACCATGTTAGTTCAAATGAATGACCTTGATCCACTTTCAACCTAATGTCCTTGTTCGACAATCAAGGTCACAGGCGTCATATGTTTAAATCTTTTAATAGGTTCTTATGAAATCTTAAGATTACAAGTGTTAGATTAATAACAGGTGAGCGATGCAGGCCCATTGGGCCTCTTGTTTTTAGTTTTGAAATATATTTTTCAAAATGGCGGCCGTGTCGGCCATCTTGGATTTCTGATCGACCCGAAAAATAACAACACTTTGTCAGGACCATTAGTCGATCATTCCTACAAAGTTTCAGTTCAATTGGCCCAACAGAACTTGACTTTAAGTTTGAAATAGTTTTTCAAAATGCCGGCGTGGTGGCCATATTGGATTTCTGATCAACCCGAAAAATAACAACACTTTGTCAGGACCATGAGTCGAACATTCCTACAAAGTTTCAGTTCAATCAGCCCAGCAGAACTTGACTTTAAGTTTGAAATATTTTTTCAAAATGCCAGCGTGGTGGCCATATTGGATTTCTGATCAACCCGAAAAATAACAACACTTTGTCAGGACCCGGAGTCGATCATTCCTACAAAGTTTCAGTTCAATTGGCCCAGCAGAACTTGACTTTAAGTTTGAAATAGTTTTTCAAAATGGCGGTCGTGGTGGCCATATTGGATTTCTGATCGACCCGAAAAATAACAACACTTTGTCAGGACCATGAGTCGATCATTCCTACAAAGTTTCAGTTCAATTGGCCCAGCAGAACTTGACTTTAAGTTTGAAATAGTTTTTCAAAATGGCGGTCGTGGCGGCCATACTTGATTTCTGATCGACCCGAAAAATAACAACACTTGGTCAGGGAGATATCAGTAACCTTCCCATGAAATATTAATGAAATCCCTTTGCCAGTATTTCAGTTTCAGTTCAAAATGTAAAATGTTAACGGACGACGGACGATGACGGACTTAGACGGATAGCAATAGGTCACTTGAGCTAAAGCTCAGGTGACCTAAAAACACACATTATGACATACCTGGTATATTTGAACAATGTACAACCAACTGACTTGGAGCAGCAGGATTTAAAAGATGAAATACTTAAATCCCCAATTTAGGGCATTCTAAGGGGATCTACACCCTTCCAAAGGGCCTGCACCTGGTATTAATCTCACACTTGTAACCTTAACAAGAGGCCCAAAGGGCCTGCATCTCTCACCTGGTATTAATCTCACAATTTTAACCCTAATGAGAGGCCCAAAGGGCCTGCATCTTTCACCTGGTATTAATCTCACACTTGTAACCTTAACGAGAGGCCCAAAGGGCCTGCATCTCTTACCTGGTATTAATCTCACACTTGTAACCTTAATGAGAGGCCCAAAGGGCCTGCATCTCTCACCTGGTATTAATCTCACACTTGTAACCTTAACGAGAGGCCCAAAGGGCCTGCATCGCTCACCTGATATAAATTGCACAACTGTAACCTTAAGGTGGCTCCACACATCGTCATCAGCGTCCATTTTTGTGACGTACTTCCGGAAAAAAGTACAGCTCGGACTCAATTATCTTGATCGAAATGTGCATGTACACCGTGTCATCATTTCCGTATTGCGTATTGGGCATTCAATATCGTAGTGCAAATTATAGTTACACCTGGGCCGTTTTCGTTTAAACGTCAAACCGATCGGACCACTGTTGTTCGTTTATTAAATAAGGTCGGACCTAGTAATCTGATGCTGCTTTCAGGCGAGCCTTGAGAAAGCCTTGCAAGGCCTGCATACACATTTGCAGGTCCGCCAGGATTTATACCCGAAATTGTTACATTTATAAACGGTCAAACCGGTTGCTCCGCATAAACGAACAGGCCCCTGGTAAACAATAGTACACGTGCGTGCCGATGATATGT